TCTTATCTTAATTTGAGCCCCCCGACATATCTATTTAAACCCCAACACATAACATATTTCATTCACATGTCAGTTAAAGAAATAAATAAATAAATAAATAAATAAATAATAATTAAAAAAAAAACCATATTTAAATCAAGAGTAATACGATTTTCAAGAGATAGAAAGAGAGAGAAATGGCTCAGCTTCAAAGGGTTGAAGGCCAAGCTGAGCTCAAATGTGATGCTAACAAGTTTTTTGAAATTTGGGGTCGGAACTCGTCCCTTGTATCTAAAATGTGCCCTATTAAATTTCCAAAAGTTGAGCTTAATGAAGGGGAGTGTTGGGATAAAGTTGGTTCTGTCATCACTTGGAGCTATGTCATTGGTAAGAACATTTTACACTTATTGTGATAATATTTAGGATATGTTAAGTTCAACTTATTTGAGCAAAAAATTTCTTAGGAGTATAATATTTTTAAAATTATCATATTGAATCAAATCATTATGGAGTACTTCTTGTTTCGGTACGAAAACAATAGGACCTTCGGTAGGCCTAATTTAGATGGGGAAGACGAGTCTCGGTCCAAAGAACGTTGGAGCCGAGGATTTCCTGCACAGCAAAGAACACGTAAACTAGCCTCGGGGGTGGTTGCTGAGGAAGGCCCCTCCGATGCTAAAGTCAGTTCGATTGAGAGAGAATGCTATGCAGGAGTTTAAGTGCGTGAGGCTTTGTTTGCATGAATGTAAAATGATGTAATTGATGGCCTTAATACCTTGATTCAATAAGGGAGAATTGGGCCATTGAAGCCAAGTGTGCTGACCACGTTGACTGGGCTTTTGTTGACCTTAGCATGCTTTTGGAGAGTTGAACCTTGCTTTGGGCTTGAGTTGAGTTATTTGGACTAGGTCCAATTAGGTGGACTGAATTGGACCCAAACACTTCTTATTAGTATTTGTTAACTTATTGTTAAATACCTTTATTGGCGTAGTAAAAAAAAAATTATGAGAAGGACCATATCATATTTGTTATTATTATTATGACGCGAACAAATAATGATGCACAATTATTTTTGACAATGCCTCAACAGATGAAATCGGGGAACATGCATTCGTCAAGACCAGAGTTGAAGAATGTGACAAAGAAAACAAGCTTGTAAGCTACAACTATCTTGGTGGACATATTGTGGAGTACTACTACAAGACATTAAAGTCGAAGATTCAAGCAACTCCAAAGGATGAAGGTTGCACTGTAAAGTGGATTCTTGAGTATGAGAAGATGAATGAGAATGCACCTGAAGCAGATATTTACGTCGATTATCTTCTTGGCGTTGCTAAAGATCTCGATGCTTGTCTTTGCAGTGTTTGATCAATGGCATGCCAATGTACATGCCATTTATCTTGTCATGAATTGCTACTTTGCTAGATCATCATTTGTACATGCATGCATGGTATATTACTATCTTAAATTATCTACTTGTACTATTGCTACAAATTAAATGTTGCAGCTAATGGTGTTTATTTGCTGTAACTTTTAAAATACTAAGGGTTATTATGCATATCATGTCACATGCATGGATGTATGTTTTGGACTTTTGGTAGCTTTTATAAATAAAGAAACTCTCTTTTAAGTGTTAAAACATTGATTAGTTATATATATAAGATCGAATACATCTTATATGTACGTATCTAGTGGCGGATGCACATTGTTTAAGTGGGGTCGTCCCATGACCCCACTTGAGCATGGAAAAAGAATTTTTTTCCTATAAAATAAAATAAAAAATAAAGCAAGAATCTCAAATAAATAACATTGCATACATCAAATCATATAATTCCAAGGTTTTATTCCAAGTTTCCAACATGAAGAATATGATCCAGCTGTTCTTTGGTCTTGTTCAGATATTATATAAGGCAGGAGTACGTGTATATTATATGATCTAAAAGCAAACACTATTGATGCCCTTCTCAACAAATCAGAATTTCTCCTTTTCAAGAAATAATGGAAAATGAATCTTCAATAAATTCAAAGGAGTGGTTCAATTCAAAGTGCTCTGATGGAATATTAACCTTGGATAAGGTTGGTGATGTATGTAATTGGACTTATCTTATAAGTGCTATGTAGTACTTTGACCTTAGCACGTACTTCATTTGTGGCTTTATGCCATTGTTTTTAGATAGGGCACTACACGAAAAGAGCAAATTGGCAACGGTTTAAACCCCCCTAAAGGCAACGGTTTTGAACCGTTGCGTATTTGAGGGTTGCCAAATCCCAAAATAATTTGAGGGTTGCATACCTCTTCAAGCTGACGTGTGTCTGTACAATAACTCATCACTATGTCATACATGAATCTCATCACGTATAGGCCACAGTCAACTCCGTTTTGCTGTTGTGCGCACTAGCATGAGGAACAAAGCACATCAATCAAAATGCATAGCAAATAAGCAACATCTTAAGCATTGTAAAGTAAGAAAATCACAACATCATGGGTGAATTACCTTGGGTGCTTTCCATGTAGGACCTCGAGGAGATCGAGGATTTATCTTCTTCATGGTACTACAAAAAATCAAAGTAATAAGTTCAAATTTGACTAGTATAATCAATACATATGAGTTAAGATATGAAAATCAATAACAAGAATTGAAACAAACTAGATACTTACTTTTGCAGTATGGACCTCACGAGGCGCTTTCTTACTTGAGGTTACCGAGCAGAATCAAAGTAGAAGATTGTGTTACTAGAAACACAAATCACAAGTAGGGTCCAATGATAACTACACACGAGACAAACAAATCAATAGTTAGCCTATTACAACAAATAAACTGGGAAAACAAATGAACTTGACTAGCATAATCAGATGTACTCCTCATAATACGGGACGAATATAAACTTGTCTCCCGTACTCATTGATTGCCTGATACCCAGTTCAGCATAGTACAACACGTCAGCGGAGTTGCCTAAGATTCTAGCAGTGGACATCTGCTCAGGGCATAACCACCCAACTTGACAAGGAGATTCAAGCTCCCATATTTGCTCCTGGAGTGCTCTGCATGCATGATAACAAAATGTTAATCGAAAACAAAACGACAAACACCACTAAACTGAATAACATAAATTGAGTACTAGTTGAATTACCTCATGCATATTTGAATGAGGGAAATGTTAAGCATTGCACCACTTAAAAATTCCTTCACATCTTCTTTGAATAGCCATGCCGTTGCATCATCATCGTAGTGGAACATTTCCTTAGGAAGTTGAATTTGGATGGGGCTGTCATTAGGCAACACACAAACACGGTTGTGCAAATAAGCTAACTCCTGAGATAGCGATTGAAGCACCGTGTCTTCAACTAATGGAGGGTGTGTAGTTGAACCTCGTGAAGGGCTCTTCATCGACGCTTTTCCACTCACCGAGCCATGTTCACTCCTCTCCTTTGGCCCCTCCACCCTCTTCTTTGGAGTTTGGATTTTCCTCGATGGTTAATAAGACAAATAACACAAATGGTTAGAAAAGATTTCCATCCAACTCTTGGGAAAAAAATCGGGTATAGATTAAAGCGTGAAATCTAAATCTTAATTACCTGGTTCATCAACCGTATCCAAGCGGATGACCATTGCACAAAACTACCTTTTGCTGCCCAGAGTGTAGTGAACTCATCCTCCTCCACGGGCACAGGTATTAAGATGTCCTCGAACCCGAGAACCACAGAATGGATCCCGACAGAATAATGCTCATGCAGAAGAGGTCGCAAATGGACCGTACCTTGTTCGGTCGGTTGTGCACTACCATAGGCAACAACATTCAAAGGTCCATCATATGATTCGCCCGGGTGAAAAAGTTCACAACGGGTCTCTTCCGGACCAAATGGGCATTGGTATAGTTCAATCATCGGGCCATATTTGGGGGTGCGACATTTTGACGTCTATAGTTAGCCCTCACTTTGACCAAGATCGAGGATATTAAAGGTCAAAGTATCACAGATCGGGAAAATGTGAGCATGGGTCTTTATTTCGTGATTTGCTAATGGGAGTGTAGCAATCCCGAGGAGAACTTTGCAAATTGATTGAAAAGAACAACATTAGCTTAGCAACAACAATTATAAAAGAACAACAACAACATCAACATCAACACCACCAACAACGACAACACAAACACAACACAATCCAAAAAAGTAAGTAACAAATCACCTGTAGAATAGGAAAGTCATGAGGTGTCAGAGTATCAAGCCCCCTTGAGTACGCATGTGAAGGAGTACCAATCTGCAATAGTGTATTGATAGTGAAACATTAATTAGAACCGTACCCACGTAACTCAACATATCAAAACTTATAGAGTTGAATTCTAATCATGTACCTCCTCGCGTGCATTTATCTCCTGTTCTCCTTCTCTTCGTGGGTGGCTACTTGAGTCGACCGGTGTTGTCGAGGAAAAGGGCATGGTCGGCAAATTCATTTGCTTCGCCCATGCATTGAACTCTTTGCGCATCTCATTGCGCACTTGTTCTTTAATTGATGCCACTGTGGCATCGAAGTTCTGCGGCGAGTTCACACTTGCTCGGGATCTTCTAGATTTGGTATATTCGGGACCCATTACCTTCTCCCATCCTAGCAAGCTCCCCCCAGCACCTAATACCCGTCCCGGATGGTAGGGCTTTCCCATAGCCAAGGTAAAGGGGTCCTTCTCTACCGTCGGGACGAGCTTGCCTTCAACAAGCTCTCCAGTGTACTCAAGCTTAGCTTTAGCAAAAACAAAATGGCAACATGAAGTAAGTGTTTATATAAAGTGATATACATGCAAATGAATAATGTAGTTCACTAGTTCATAGTTGCTTATTAGCTTATCTGTCATTTCTTTGGTTTCCGGAGCCTTGATGGACCATTTTCCGGTTTTCTTGTCCCGCGAATGCATAGAGCAAAAGAAATCCCAGCACGACTCACCAAAGTACTGGTTGTGGAGTCAGATGGCGCTGTGGAGGACCCTAGAAGCGCAGTGGGGTATAATCCTTCACTCACCCACGTATCCCTCTATTTATCATACGTCATTGCTCCCATATGATGGTGGTATTGCTTTTGCAATGCATTCTTGGAATTCTGCTCCCTCATTTCCTACATAAAAAGATATGTTAGTTTCATTACTAATAAAAAAGACGATAAATTACAACACAATTTTCATCAGAGTTCTTTAAACTTACAATTTCTTCTTTTTTACATTTTTGAAGAACGAAAGCTTCCCAATTATCCTTCGATATGCTAGGCCATATTTTCCATGGGAGTTTCTCTTCATCGATAACATCATCATCACTGCCACCTCCTTTCTTGTTCTTTTGTTTCCTCACAAGTTTATTTGTGATAAACCGACGAACTAAGTTACACTTGAAGCTTCTGAATCTTGCCGCAAGTAATGATTCAAACACCCTTCGCTTGGCGTACTCATTTGGAATGTTAAATAGACTCTGCAAGCACAAATAACAAACATTATTAGTTTGCCCATAACATAACAATAAATTGAAATTGTTTATAAATAATGTGAAATAAAAAAAACTTACCCTGGTATCATTCCAAAACGTGTCAATCAAGCCTGTAGGTACGTCGCTCATACGAAGCGTAATGGGGATTTTGCGCGCACAAATCCCAACTTGACCAGCATACTGACGACGCCATTTACCTGAGGGTTGCCCTACCCTGTCATACTTCAAGACCATGGGACCGACAGGTTTCTTGAAAGCTGTCGTCGGACCCCTCTGCTTTTTCTTCGCTGGTGCCTGCACCCCCCTCCCACTTTGATCCTCACGAAACAGCTCCATAATGGCATTATCGATTAGAGGCGCTTGCTCAGCTGAAATTTCAAACTCATCTATCAGCATTCTCTCCAATACATCTTGCGCCTGATCTTCTGGCTCACCCAAATCAGGTTCCTTGTTCCCATCATACAGCTGGTCCCCATCATTAGATGAATCATCATCATTAGATTCAGCATCCTCAACTCGAACACAGTATTGATCGTCCGTCATTCGATGTTAAAACCTGTCATTACAAACATAACACGTTATTAGCTGCTGAATTGTAAGGTAAACTTATAATCATAACTAAATTGCTGAATTATAATACAAATAAACATAGAAAATGGTGAAGCAAGTTACTTTATTCATTTAAAAGAATATAAGAAAAATGGGCAAGTATTTCAACAATTTCATTCATTTTCACCTAAAATGTGATTTTTTAATTCTTTCTACGCCTGCAGTTCAAACTAACAGAAAATATACAGTACCTCAATCTAATATTCCTTCATCGTGGTCTGATCTCATGTAATTGGCTTGGTCGTCTGTCTCATTTGGCACAGCAGGTCTAGGAACAGTGAAAGGTGCCGAGTCATCAAAGGCATCATATTCTTCCTCATCCTCGACATCTCCAACGCCAAGGATTCTTCTTTTGCCGGCTAGCACAATAGACCATTTTAAGTCGGTAGGTCAGATACGTAAAACACCTGCTTAGCTTGAGATGCAAGGATGAATGGTTCCGCACTATCATTCAGGTTGCCAAGATCTACAAGAGTAAAGTCATCAAATTTGACGTTACGCCTGATATTATCAACCCACTTACACCAGAAAAGAGCAATCGTGAAGTCACAATAATCAAGCTCCCATATTTCTTGAATTCGACCGTAGTATGACAACTCTGCATCAACGGGTGATTTATCCTTAGCACTTGCAAACTCCCTTGACGATGCCACAACCGTTACACCACTGTTTTGGGTCGAGGATGATTTCAAATCTTGACGCTCAGTCCAAAATGTGTACCCATTTATGTCATATCCCTCAAATGAGCGAACATCATCCCTACGACCATAAGCAAGCCACCTTACTGTAGCTGTGACACTCTCATCCATTCCACCCATCACTCGATCACGAAACCAACTCACAAACTTCTTATTGTGCAACTGCATCAGTGCCCTTTCACCTTTCGACGGAAACTCATCACGCAAACTAGCCATGTGCTCGTCTAAATATGGGTGAACATCTGCAACATGGTGCAACACATATAGGTGTGCTTGTAAGAACTTCTCTCGATCAGGTGACATTCGTTTCGACCCGATTGTGCCATGACCATCAAGTCTCCCTTCATGTCAAGAAGTAGGAATGCCAATAGGTTCCGCAACGGCTATATAGTCGGCCACAAAATTACCAATCTCCTCGGCCACGGTCCCTTGAATCATACTTCCTTCCGGGTGAGCCTGATTCCTAACTTTATCTTGCAATGTACCCATGTGTCTTTCAAAAGGATAGTACCACCTCATGAACACTGGACCGCACAACTTAATCTCACGCACCAAATGAAGAATCAAATGCACCATTATGTCGAAAAAAGAGGGCGGGAAGTACATCTCAAATTTGCACAAAGTCACAACCACATCCGCCTGTAAAGCATCAAGTGTACAAGGATCAAGCACTTTGCTACATATTGTATTGAAAAACGAACAGAGGCTTGTAATAGCTTCCCTCACGTGCTTTGGCAAAATACCACGTATTGCAATTGGTAGAAAAACTTGCATCAGAACATGAAAATCATGGGATTTCATACTTGTCAGCTTCAATTCTCCATTTAAGGATACAAATCTTTTCATGTTAGATGCGTACCCTGATGGAACCTTAATGCCATACAGACATTCACAAAACATCCGTTTTCTACCCTTGACAATGTGTAGCAAGCCGGAGGTAAATAGGCCTTCCCCTTTTTGGTTTTTCCCTCATTTTTCTTCTTCAACGCATCCGCGGCCTTTCCCTTTCCCTTGCTCTTCCCCTTTCCCTTTTTCGAACCCATTTCTTTTTCCTTTTCCTGTTCCTTTCCCTTACTAACCCTTTGCTGAACACACAATTCTGGACGCACCCCTATCTTTTCCAAATCTAAACGTGCACCCTTTCCGTCCTTTGTCTTGTTTTGAATATTCATCAACGTTCCCACAAGAGTGTCACACACATTCTTCTCTATATGCATTACATCAAGACAGTGCCTAACGTCATGTTCTTTCCAGTACGGGAGCAACCAAAAGATTGATTCTTTTTTAAAGAGAGCAAATGATTCCGCCGCTTTTTCAGATTTCCCAAATACTGTTCGTACACCCTTAACCCGAGCGTAAACCTCCTCACCAGTCAGTGGCCTAAGAGCAGTCCCCTCTTCCACCGTCCCATCGAAAGCCTTTTTCTGCCGACGGTACGGGTGATCGCGCCTGAGCAACCTTCTTGTCCTCAAATACACCTCTTTGAAAGAATGATCAAGGCGTCTGCTTGGCGTATCATCAATACAAATGGGGCATGCCTTTTTCCCTTTATTCTTATACCCAGACAAGTTGCCATATGCAGGAAAATCATTAACGGTCCACATAAGAGCTGCACGCAATGTGAACATCTCATTCTTATGAGCATCAAACACGGAAACCCCTTCATCCCACATCTTTCTCAAATCATCAACCAATGGTGCAAGATACACATCTACGTCGTTTCCAGGTTGCCTTGGCCCCGATATCAAGAGTGAAAGCATTACATATTTCCGTTTCATGCACAACCAAGGAGGCAAATTGTAGATCACTAAAAGTACCGGCCATGTGCTGTGCTGGGTACTAAGAGTGCCAAATGGATTCATCCCGTCCGTGCACAAACCAAGCCTTAAATTTCTGACTTCATCACCAAATTCCCCAAACTTCATACCAAGGTTCTTCTATTGCGGGGAGTCGGCTGGGTGCTTCAGCATCCTGTTTTTCTTTCTTCCCTCTGCATGCCACCCTAGGTTTTTAGCGTCTTTTGGTAAACAAACGCTTAAACCTTGGAATTATGGGAAGATACCACAACACCTTAGCAGGAGGTCCCTTCGTACCAGCATTGCAACTCTTGCGCTTGTAGCGCGCGACTTCTTGCATCTTCGACATTCCTCCAATTGTTCATATTCATTTCGGTAAAGAATACAATCATTAGGACATGCATGTATCTTCTTATACTCCAAACCAAATGGACACATGAGCTTCTTAGCGTAATAGTAAGACTTAGGAATTTCATTCCCATCGGGCAACATCTCACTTAACACGCTCAACAAGGAAGTAAAACTACTGTCCGTCCACCCATGCTTCGACTTAATGTTAAAAAGAGTTAGCACGGCTGATAGTTTGGAGTATTTTTGCACCCAGGATACAAAGGATTTTTAGAAGCCTTCGATAATGACTCAAACATGTCACCTTCAAAACCACGCATCATCTCATCCACACCTTCATCCTCAACCTCATCCACATGATCATCCTCAAATCCCTCCTAAGCACCATCATCAACAATATGTTCATCATTCTTGTATTCCTCGTCCACACGGATATCATTGCTTCTATCATCATGCACATCATACCCAATAACATCCCCACTGTACTCTCCTTCTTCACCATGCCAAATACACACATGATATCTAACCCTAAACCCACGACAAACTACATGATCTCTAATGATATCAACACTATTGACCACCTTCACATTATTACAATCAACACAAGGACAATAGAGGCACTCGAAACCCATTCTGCGCTGATAAGATGAAGCCGTCTCGCAAAACTCTTGAACCCCATTAAAGAATTCCAATGTATCACGTCTACCATACATCCATCCACGATCCTTCTCCATTAAGTAAATTGTCTCTAAACATGGCAACATATTATGAATAATGTATAATTGCTACATCTATTATATATATAAATCAAATTCAAACACACAACATGCATATAACATTCATATAGATACAAAAATGCATATATGCTTCCAAAGGGTCCTTATCACTCCAACCTAACCCATCCTTGAACGCTTACTCTCACTAGTGAATGTATGTCAGATTTCCAATTTTAAGGAAAATCCGGCAGCATTTCCCCCCAGTTCTCCAAATACACGACGTAGGTAATTACTTACCCACATATGTACCCAGAGAACATGGTGATCGAGGAAATTCTAAGCCAAGATGTTCCTTAAAATCGAAAAAACTGACATACATTCACCACCTAAGTGAGAGTAAACGTTCAAGAACAGTCCCAACCGAGAACTATTCAAGACTTTCTCCAAATGAAAAAGCCTTGAACGGGTATCTAGGCATATGATGATACATGCAATCAATTAAAAAACAATGGATTAATCACACATCATGATGGAAGATGCACTAAAGTTATATCACACACCATCTCCACAAAAATGTGCAACCAAGAACTTATTTAAAGCACATAAAGTTATATATATACCTGAGTACCTATAAAGGCTCAACACTCTCAAATAGAAGGTCAATGCCAAGGCCTATGCTTCGCCCAAAAATTCCTGATAATCTTTTTTATTGTAACCTATATAGAACACAAATAGAAAACCAGATTAAGGGAAAAGATAAGAATGATATTAGTGAGCAAGAACAAGGACAGTCAGAGTAAGATACCAGGATGTTTTCCACCCACTCTCCAAACTGATGATCTTACCCTAGAAGCCCTTGACACCCATTTCTTAGCCTGAAACACGCATATATATAGTGAGAAGCAACTCATAAAGAAAAGTATATTCAAATCCTAAACCCTAAACCCTAAACTCTCAACTTTGTTCTCTTAAATAAAAAGGACTATTTTATCCTATAAATAAAATAAAATTCTCAACTTTATTAGTGATGATAAATAAAGTTCTCATAACAATTTAGAAATATAGGTAAATGTAGCTTGTACTAAATACAATTCTCAGCTTATAAACAACAACAATAACTAAAAAAGGCCTTACATTTGTGGAGGGGGAGCCTTATGCGTTCAATGGAGGGGGAGCTGAGCCTTGCGCGTATAAATGGAGGAGTTAAGTAGCAATTATTGACAAACCCTAGCAATTACAAGAAACTTGTCAATATTAACTAAAGACCAATTCCTCAAAAACCATAACAATGGAGGAGCGCTATTACGACTTACCTAGCTAGGTCTAAGCTGCTACATACTTCAATAATGCAAGCATATGTGGAGGGAGGCAGAAGA